GCGGGGGGTGGGGAGAGGCTCTTTGACTTTTCTTTCGGTTCTTTTACGGAAGTTATTATTTTTAGCCCAATGAGGTAGCAGCTGGGCGGGGGGCGGGGGCTGGCCAGGAGAGGGTCCGATGCCGCCGCACTTGTCGCCCTGGTTTCTGGATTGTGAGGCTTCGGATATTATTGTTATTATTTGTTACAGGCTTAGTAACTATGACTAATTTGATGCTTGTCATTACGAAAGAACAGAGGGGAGAGGGAGCTGGGGGGCATCCAGAGAGAGGATTTAGGGGTTTTTTGTGGGGGTTTTTGTTCTCCGTGTTTTTTAAATGGCTCCGTGTTTTTTCTGTGTGTTTTTTTAACACCCCCCCACCCCCCGGCAAAGATCCCTGTGTGTCTGGCAGTGGGGTGTGTGTTTTTATTTTTTTAGTGGGGGGGTGGTTTAGTTTTTGAAAGCAGCGTCCTGTTGGGAAAGGTGGTTAGTCTGGTTTCGGGGCGACTGTCTCAAGGTAAAGGAATTTAATTTATTTGGGACAAGGCTGTGTCGGATGATCAAGCTGCTTATTATGGCTAATGAGTATTTTTCACCTGAGAATCCGTGGGATGAGGTGGCTGTTATCAGTTCAAAGTGAGGGGCCCAGGACTCCCTCCCATCCCCGCACCCTGGGAGGGGGCAGACCAAGCAAACTGCTACATTTGGATGTCTGGGTTTCGAAGGGCCTGGTACGGCACCTAGGCTAGGAGTCCAGAGAGTATGATGCTTGCCTGGGAAGGAGTTTATCCTGAGATTTTGGTGTTTTATTGATTTTAATCTAATTTTATCCAATATTTCTTTTCTCACCTGAGTCCAGGAGAATATGGTAAATTTCACCATATTCTCCTCAGTCTTTCTATTAGTTTTCTTTATTGATATCAAATTTTGACCAGGATCCTCAGATCCTAAGCTGACGAAAGCAGCTGACTTCCTCGATGTTTTTAAAAGAACTCAGTAATAAGCGGGTTGATAATTCATTGGGACTAATCTCTGAATCCTTCTGTTTCATTTGTAGATGGATAAGTGGTATTGGTGGCTGTTAGAGTTGTTGTATATGATGGGCCCAAGTTCATAGCATTGACCCTTGAGACCCATGAGCTGATAACAAGAGGACTGGGCAGAGAGGACAGGAGGACAGCACTGGGGGGCCCAGGGTGGGTGACATGGTGGCCAGCTTTGGGGAGGGAAGAGGTCATTCACAATTTCAAGGCTATGTTCAGCCAGGTGTGATCTTGGCTTATCTGATGTGGAGGTCCTGAGGACCTCTGTGCCCAAGAAGGGTGTGATACCCCCTGCTGGGCAAAGCGATGAAGGTGTCTGAGGCCATTACTACCTTGCCCCTCCCTGCCCCTCCCTGCCCTGCACTCCCACAGAGAAACAGCCCGCCCCCACCTCTAATCAGATGTCTCATCATCTCCCTCTCAGGCCCCACCCCCTTTCTTCAGAAATGGGGCCCCCACCCATCCCATCTAAAAAGCAGACCTTATAGATCCGTAATGCACCACCCCCTACCTGGGGCAGGTGAGCCTCTACTTGTGGGCGGGCACATGGGACCCAGGCATTACTCAGCTGGAAGGCGGGCCCTGCTCATCTTCCTCCACCTAACCTCGGTGCCTGCTGCAGCTGTTGTCCATCCTGCTGCCTTATGCCAACCAGTCCCTCCCAGTCTGCTCTGGGAACATGACTCCAAAGCCCTTCTGTAGGGTGTCCCAAGATAGAGAATAGGCCTCCTGGGCCTGTGGTAGCAGAACCTCTTGTAGCATCTCTCCTGGGCCTCAGGGAGACTCACTTTTCCTAGTACTCCAGGGACAGGCTCTGGAAACTTTTCCTAGAAGCTAGAAGGGCCCCTTGAGGTCAGCTGGTCCCTCTCTAGCTGGAGCGGGGCACTCCCAGCTGGACCCAGGCCTAAACTCTGGTCATTCAGTGACGGGAGGTCCAGGGTGTCAGAGTTCTGTCTCTTTCCTGGAGGAGTCATCTCGTAACCCCATCTCAGCCTTTTCTTCGAATTTGGAAGTTTCACTTAATCTCAGAATTTCAGAAGAAAAGCACTTTTTCCCCTATTCACAAAAAAAGGGAAGCAGGTGGGAACACTGAGATCCCCTCTGAGCCATCTCAGGGCTAACTCCATGTCATCTTTCTCCACCTCTGGAATGTACTTTTGGACAGAGCCAGGGCCAGGGGCCTCATTTCTGGCCAGAGCTCTTTGGCGGTGTGGTGAGGGGCTCTCTTCTTTGGGGGCACTGCAGGCAGCTTCCACTGAGGGCCTCTCTAGCACAGTACAGGGCTGGAGGCACAGGCCCCAAAGGGCCGCTGGCACCAGGGACCCACTAGGCATTGGATCATGGGTTAACTCACCTCCAGCCTCAGAGGGGTCTAGGTCCCGAAGCAGTCCGGCAGTAAGTGATTCAGCAGTGGGAGAACCAAGGCTTCTTAGCAGGGGACAGCAGCACCTCAAGACCCTCAGGGGCCATGTGGACCCCTTTTCCCCCACCATAGTTCAGCCAAGGGCTGGATCAATCTGGACGTCTTTAGCAATAAAAAATGCCGATGTCGTCCTAATTCACCAGGCCCCGAGATGACAGCAAATTTACATTTTTTAATTAAACTAGCAGCCAGTTTTTATGAGAGGGGGTTGGGTTATGCAAATCAAATGGTTGTGTACGGAAGATTAGGAGAGTTTGGGAATAAATTCCACAAATGCTAATAAAAAAAAAGAGGAGAAAGAGAAAGAGAGGGAGGGAGGGAGGAGAGAGAGGAAGAGAGGAGGACAGAGTTCCATTAGGCCCTTTTAGAGTGATTTCCCTGGAGGAGGGAGCCGAAGGGGGAAGGGAAGTGGGAGGAAGCTTTCAGACACAGGTAAATCCATCCAGCAGTTGGGAAGCTCCAAGATTAGGCCCCACTAGGCTGATTCCTAGGCCCTGGACAAAACTGGAGGCCGGGCGAAAGTGGCTGTGAAACATCAGTAGAGCTTTGAGAAGGAACTTGCCCTTGATTTTCTGGGATCTTGTTATAATCGCCCCACTCTCCCTGGGGAGAATTTGAGAAGAAGGGGAGGGGCTGTCCAGGGTTAGAGCTTTAACATTAGAGGATCCAAGGTAGGCTCTGCCAGGTAAAGGGCCCAATAGGCAAGTTCAAAGTGATGGCCAGGGACCACAGGGGGAGCCGGTGAGGGGCCTTACTGCCCACTTGGCCCATGCCTGCAGCCATGTTGTAGGGGTAAGTCAGTGGGAGGAATGTGTGCCGCTTGCTGAGCCAAGCTTGCTGCTTTTTCTCTGGTTCAAGCTCTGCTAGGACTCCAGGCTGAGCCCCCTGCACTGCATACAGATCCCCCATTGCATCCCGGCTCTGGCCTCAGCTGTAGAGGAGGCCAGAGAAGATGGGGTCAAGGGAGCTGAGCCAGGTTGGCTCAGTAGCCTGATTCTTGGAGTGGAATTTCCTAGTAGCCACGTGCTTCGAGGGCACACACTCAAGGTAGGAGAAGGAAGGCTGCAGACTTTTTCCAGGTGGTTTCTCACCCCAGGGAGCAAAGAACTTGACCTTCCCAACCCAGCCCCTGTGTGTCTTGCTCAGGCCCCTGCTGCCCTGAGTGTCAGCCCATGTCCAGACTCTCAGGACAAGACCAGCACCTTGCCAGGAGGGGAGGCTTCTAGGAACCTTAATGGCTCTGGTCACACCTTAGAACCAGTGTGTACTGAGAATTGGGAAGATTCTCGTGCTGTTTCTGGAGGAAGAGATACCGCGCCGGGTTTGGAGCAGAGCAGGTTGTCCTTGATTTTCCTTCTTCAAGCCTTTACTTGGCCAGATACACCCACCCGACCAGTCTAAGCTGGGGCCAGTCCCTGCAGTCAGGTTGGGCACCGGTTTTGCCAGTCTGCTGCAGAGGGTAGGTGCTTCAGTGCCATCTTGGCGAGAAGGAACAGTCAGAGCCAAGGACAGAATGGGCTGTCTTGGAAGTAGTGAGTTTCCTGGTACCAGTCAGAGGCTGGCTGTGACATTTGAAGGGACTCGAGCATCCCATAACCTTTCAGATCTCTGGCTATCCGACTCCCAACTTGATGATAGCAGGAGAATTTAGTGGGGCCATCTTGGGGGAGGGGTCGAGTGGACGAGGTGAGAAGCACATCATTTGGACCTTTTCTTTGGAAGACGGCATTTGAGACAAGCAGCTCTGGACTGTGACGTGGCCCCTTGAACCAGCCCTGGCACTAGTTATGAGACAGCAGAGCAAAGCTCAGGACAGACCTGGTGTAGCC